GCGATACGCGATCGAGGTGAGGCAACGATTTGTTTATAACCGGCGCGCCGCCGTTGTGTGTTTCTCGGCACGAGTTTCGTCACGAAAATCCGTTTCGCCGTTACGTTTCCCGGCCGGGGCGTGCCCACGCGAGCGTTTCCCACAAACGGAATGCGAGCGCGTTCCCATAATTCCTTTTTATGCAACGCGGTCGACGGTGCCCGATGTCGATCCCGTTACGAGTGCGTTTTTCAGCGGCGAGGACACGGCTGGCGACGCGTCGTCGCAATCCGTCGGGCCACTTCGACCAATTTCTGTCGCCGATAAACAACGTTCGTTGCTTATCTCGGCCCGTGGAAATCGGCCGAGGACGAAGAAAACCGGAGACCGGGGAAATTAATAACGTCGAGCGCTGCGGGAGTGATTTATCGGTACCGGTTTTTTTCAGCCGATGCGCCAAATTAACGAAGCACCCGAGGCATTTCACCCCGCGGACACGCCAGCCGTCCCCTTAGAAAGCTGGAAACGGCGAAAGTATTTCGACGACCACGACGACGGCGACGGGTTACGCCGTCTGTGGTTCGCTCCATACCCGTCGATCCGTCGACCTTGAACCGGTTCGGATTAATTAGGCGCAGCTCGCGGGCAAAGATTCAGCGTTAACGATCGCGAAACGATAACGATCCGCGGGTAGAAAGGCTGCCGAGAATAATAGCGTCGACGTCGGCGGCGCATAGATCAACGAAAGCTGCCGGGAGAGAAATGATCGATAGACAGCCTTGATCCCCTTGAAAACAATTACCCAACCGAATGGACGAACGCGTTCACCTGCGCCGCCGCGAAAAATTGCAACACGCTCCTCTCGCGGCTCTTCTCGCATGTCGATTTCGCAACGGCGATGCTTCTTCGCGATTTACGCAAGCCGGAGCTCTTTGATTGTTTTTCTCGGCGACGCGGCGAGCCTGACTCGTCCCGTTCCAGTATTCAAACGAATCGAACCCGTCCGACGCGATACGCCGCGACGCGACGCGTCGCCTTCTCGAAACCGTCGCCGAAGAAAGCCCACTCGAGCGCGCGTCCGCCGAAACGGATAGATCGATGGATCGCCGGTGATCCTCGCCGCGGTTCGCGACCGGTTTCTGAATGTTTCCTCCGAATTCCAGGACTTGTTCTGGCCAATGCAGTTTCGGCCGCGCTCAAGGGTACCAGGCCGAAATTCAAGATCGCGACCACCTCCACGACAACTACCACCGAGGAGAGCCCTGCCCACGAGAACGAGGACGAGGATGGCGGGGTGAGTCCTCTAGAAACCAGCGAACGATCATTTTCCCCGAACGATCGGAGAACCAAGGATAATATTGATGCAACAATCGAGCCTGCCCGGAGCTCCTGTATTTCGTTATGCCTGTCGAGTAAATTATAGTTTGGGAAACGCTGATCCAACTGTTCGCCGTTGCCTAGCCGCGCCGTGGAGATAGTCGGCAGCGATATCTCGCGAGTAACATCATCGATTGCATTATTTACGTGTACCGGAATAGAACATGCAGATCGTTTATCTTCGATGATGCAAATCGCGCCGACCGCAGTCACGATGCCCCACGCATCCGCGACTGTTCGCCAGGTGCATCTTCCACTCGAAAGCGCGGTCTATCCATCTCTTCGCCCCTCGTACCGGTACGTCTTTCAATTATCCCGACGTCGTTCTATAATTGGACCACGGTGACGCGAGATCAATTAACTCGTCGCTGGATCCCATCGTCTCCCGGCTCCCGACGAGCTAGACAGGTTCACCTTCGCGATGGAACGTGACATCATC